TCCTTTTTTTTCATAAGCAACAAATATGAAACGCATTAGTACATACATATTTGAAAGTACTAATTCCATTGTCTTTAATGTTCAATTTTTATTTTTTATTGCTTAGTTGGTTGGACGAGCTCACAGCCCACCTGGTGTTAAGTGGTTACTGGAGCCCATAGACATCTACAACGTAAATGCCGCCACATGCCTTGAGATATAAGTTCTAAGTTCTAAGGCAGACATAGGCAGGGCGGTGGTACCTACCTGTGCGGACTCACAAGATGTCCCACCACCAGTAATTACGAAAATTATAATTTTTGCGGATTTAATTTTTTATTACACGATGTTATTCCTTCACCGTGGAAGTCAATCGTGAACATTCGGTGAGTACGTATTTCATTAGAAAAATTGGTATCCGCCGGCGGGATTCGAACATCGGTGCATCGCTCAACACGAATGCACCGGACGTCTTATCCTTTAGGCCACGACGACTTAGTCTTCATTAAATGAACGCAATACAAGATATTAAAGAACATTTAAAAATAATCCATACCTGAATTAATACTTTTTAGGAGTTATTTTAGTAGTGGTCAATAATAGCGTCAGGGCGTTGTCGGAAGTGAGATAATTAAATAACACAACTGGTTAATCGGAGCGTTTATTCGCGACTGAACCTAAAAAGTAAAAAGCAACGGAGCTTGCGGATGCAGCCGCATGTTATGACTACGAACAATTTTGTTTACATAACAAAACTGCGTCCCTACAACGTTTTTTTGGCAAATCTCAATGTAATTCTTGATATTTCTTGCCTAACCTAATCGAGTAAAGTTCGAAATCTATCGGTTCGGCTATTAGTCTAAATCAGAATTGGTGGCTCCCATTACCGTGTTTACCTTAGCCCGGATCGAACAAGACGGGGGAACAAATTACGGGAAAGCAACGAGGCATTTCCAGGGACAGTGTTTGCCACACATGAATATTCTACGCCCTCATTGCCCTGGGCAGTATTAAGAATAATGCAGTTTTATTTTCAAATTATACAGCTCTCGATAAACATAATTAAAGGCTGGTAAAACTGATTAGAATTCTTTAATTTTAATTTGTAATAATTACAGTTGTATTAAAATTTATTGAAATTTAAACATATCATATATCAGGTGTTATATCTTTATCTATTAAATTATTTATGTAATTTTGCAATTTAGTCATAGGTCCGAATTACAAGCATTATCTTGTGTTTGTCTCAAATGTTCCGGCACAGCGAATACTAAAGATTCAAATTATGGGATATCATGTTTTAAAAACAGGGTCTACAATGATAATTTGTATAATACTTTTTTGGGTCGGAATTAATTTTCTGAACCACCTCACAGTATAAGCAGTTTGAGAAAATCGAAAATTTTGTAGGATCAAGAGTGACAGAAGTTGGGCAGGAAGAACCTTGCCAGCGCTCCTGGTTTTGACATCAATTACATAGTAACGGAGATGATCCAACATGCATTTCAGAACGATAGGCTCGATCGCTAATCTATACTAATATTATAAAGAGGAAAGATTTGTTTGTCTGTACTGAATAGGCTCCGAAACTACTGGACCGATTTGAAAAATTCTTTCACTGTTTGGAAGCTACACTATTCCCGAGTGACATAGGCTATATATAATCTTTTTAAAATAAAATAAGGATCCTTACTAAAACTCAAATAATGTAACCCAAGGTGTAAAAAAATTATCTAAAATATTCTTTACGTCGCGTGCCCTGGGAAAACTATTGATGATAGAATAAGAATTAAATAATGCACTAAGACTTTGTAGAACACATTATTATTTACAAAAAGTGTCGCGACAGCATATCTATACTAATATTATAAAGAGGAAAGATTTGTTTGTTTGTTTGTTTCGAATAGGCTCCGAAACTACTGGACCGATTTGAAAAATTCTTTTTCCATTAGAAGCCGACATTGTCCCTGATGAACATAGGCTACTTTTTTTAATTTTTTTTTTTTTTTTTTTTTTGGTTTCATGTGTGTTTTAATGTTTCCGAAGCGAAGCGAGGGCGGGTCGCTAGTGTCTAACTATTATAGTTATGCCGCAAAAAGTGTTATTTAAAAAAAAAAACCTGAAATATCGTTGAAATTTTTGTTAAAGACCCGAGCGGAGCCGGACCGGGCTGCTTGTATTGAATGAACAAGCAATCAAAACTCTGAGGGGTTAATGTTATTAATTCCTGAATACGCCCCTGTACCGAAACCTAGCCTACGTTGTTTATCCGATCAACGAATAGGCTCTAAACGGTCCGTAAAAGCAGTTACGGTAATGATTCTTTAATGGACGTTAGGGTACCCCGTTTCGACTTGTAAAGGTCTAAAGGTGAGTATTAAGGGAATTCTCTGGTGTTGTTTCAATTACTTTCTTATATTCTTGTGATGGAGTCAGAGTAACTTACTCTTTTAATCTCACAGCACGCATAGCCAAGAATTTATTGCACATCCACTTCATATTAAACCCTTTTTCAAAAGGGTGCAAGTTTGCAACAGTAAAATGTAAATAAAGTTAAATAATCGTTTGCAGCTAAAATGTTTGACGTCAGAAGCAAACAGGCCTCACAAAAAAAAACCCAGAGAATGCACAAAATGAATCCTGGTACGCAAAAAATATTGGTCAAGAATATCCTGTGGATAAAGATTAGAGTTCAGTATAAAATATCAGTATCGGCTTGTAACCAAGATGCTGTTTGCGCGATTGGCGAAAAGGCTTGCTTCTCTTGCCCCACTCTATGAAATAGCGTACCGATCTCACAGCTCACTTAGTGGCAAGTGTTTTAAGCAATATTAACAAACACAAACAACGACTTACGCTTAACGCTTACGACGTATACACTTGCCAGAACAATAGTATTTTTACGCTTAACTTCCAAGCTTACGTCCAAGTTCTGTGGCATTAGTGGTGCCCGGATTTCCCTAAATGTTTGATATGTTTTTTTGGTTTTTAATATGCAGCATAAATCGAACAAAAGTGTAAAAGAATTGAGAATCCAGGAATTTCCAGAACAATAACAATTGCAATTGGACTCTTCGTCTACCTAGCAAAGCGGGTGGGTGTCTGTCTGTTGTATGAACATCTTCTCCGTTAGAATATTGTTTGTTCGTAAAGCATCTATCACCTTATAACGGTACCCTAAAAATCGAGTTCCACTATTTTTGTACCTCTTACAAAGAGGGAACTTCACAAAGGGAAAACTGAAAATCTCTGTAAGAGTACCTTTGTGTGTGCAAAGTAATGTGTTTTATTTTCATAGTCGACGTCTTTTGTAGGCTTCGTAATAATATTCTAATTGAACAATATGCAAAATTTGCTTTATTAATAGATTTTTATTAGTTTTATCAAACAAAAGCTATCATAATAATATGAACTCTCAGTTAACGTGAAGATGTATTAAGACGTAATGATCGAAGTTAATCGCTGTCTTAACTCCAACTGGAATGCAGGATTGCTTCGTTGTATAAAGAATCGGACCTGCAGTACAGTTCTGCCAGGGATTCCAGCATACCTTACTAATAAGCTCTTCTAATGTATTTCAATAATTGCAAATATAGAAATGAACATAACTCAACGACTGAAAAGGGCGTTCGATCGAATATTACCCGACTATAATTCCCTCTATATCTGATTCTCGTGTGAAAGGACAGGTGTGAATTTTTGCAGACCTCTCCAGGCACCCCTTTTTACAAAGAAGAAACTCTTTGTCTGTACAATGAGCGACGAAATAAAATTAAATCTGGTTTCGGGATATTTTTAAACCAACAAGGCAATTAAAAGAGACGCTTGAACAGAAGTCGTTGAAGGATTTTGAAGTCGTCGTGGCCTAAAGGATAAGACGTCCGGTGCATTCGTGTTGAGCGTTGCACCGGTGTTCGAATCCCAGGCGGGTACCAATTTTTCTAATGAAATACGTACTCAACAAATTCACGATTGACTTCCACGGTGAAGGAATAACATCGTGTAATAAAAATAAAACCCGCAAAATTATAATTTGCGTAATTACTGGTGGTAGGACCTCGTGTGAGTCCGCACGGGTAGGTACCACCACCCCGCCTATTTCTGCCGTTAAACAGTAATGCGTTTCGGTTTGAAGGGTGGGGCAGCCGATGTAACTATAATTGAGACCTTAGGACTTATATCTCAAGGTGGGTGACGCGTTTACGTTGTAGATGTATATGGGCTTCAGTAACCAATTCATACCAGGTGGGCTGTGAGCTCATTCACCCATCTAAGCAATAAAATATATATATATTTTTTTGATAAATAGAAGCATCGTGTGTAACCGAGAAATTCAAGTTGCTTCTTTTGCCTCTGGCTTATTTTGGCTCTAGAATGATTTCTCTTCAGATTTTGGCACTGTATGTCTATCTTCAATTTAGATTAGAAAAGATTTCACTGTGGCAGCTTCTTTGACTGTGCCTTTAACATCATTATGGTCCATCAGTGACATTGATCACTACTGATTGGTCATCTACAATTGCTTTAAGTAATAGTTTTCCGATTCGTTTCGTCAATCAATGCTTTGAGTAATAATGCACCATATTGTATTCACTTGTGAATTTGCTTTAAATTTATATTCCTCATTATTTTAGTGTTTATAATAAATACTAAATAGGTATTGGTAAATAAAAAAATAGCATATCTGTTTTTCGACAATCCACGGCGCATAAGTTTCGACTACAAAGTACTTTTATACGCGATTCTCTTAGGGAATTTCCCTTTTTGCGAATCTCGAATTTTAATGTTCGGCTCGTGAATGACTGAGTTTTAAATTCTTTAAGTACCTCACTTAACTGTCTATTTGTGAGATACTTTTTGTACGAGACCGTTACCGTTTTGATTTACGATCTGAAAACTTAAGAAGTATAAAAATAAAGCTCATATTTGTTTATGTTACATAAATTTATACGTCTCTTTAAACAATACATGTTGGTAATGACAAAACGAACGCATTAAAAATATACTTGTACTGCCTTCGATACTTCTGTATATAGCTTTTATTTCTTCTGCCTCTTATATGACAAGATCTCGTGGTCTACTTGGCAGCAGCTTCTGCCTCCTGTTGCAGTTCTTGGAGTCTCTGCAGGGCTTTCTGTTTTCTTCTTTCCAAAGGCGTTTTAAACATCCAAGCCTCTGCTAGAGCATCCTGATTGAAAATATTGAAATTAATTTAATTTTTTTTTGCTTATATGGGTGGACGAACTCACAGCCCACCTGGTGTTAAGTGGTTACTGTAGCCCATAGACATTTACAACGTAAATGCGCCACCACCCTTGAGATATAAGTTCTAAGGTCTCAAGTATAATTACAACGGCTGCCCTACCCTTCAAACCGAAACGCATTACTGCTTCACGCCAGAAATAGGCAGGGTGGTGGTACCTACCCGCGCGGACTCACTAGAGGTCCTACCACCAGTAAAAAGTGTGAAAGCGAATGCAAATTTTGGAGTATCCTCTTAGTCCCTTGGATAGGTACCATCACTCTGTATTTTTATATCAGGAAGCAATAAAGCTTTCCGATTTGTAGAACACGGTCTCCGTTCAACACTAAATTATGAGTTCCACCACAATATGGTAAAGGGTTTTAGAATTATTTTATGTTAGGTAGACCGTATGCTCTTCTGCCCATTTGTGACGAAAACAATTTAAACTTGGACCTCAAGTCTCGCGGTAGATGATCATTAACACGGTTCACATATCAACGGTCGATGTCATTATGTAACCGTAGAAGCAAAGGTTTTTCATCAAATCGACATCCACACAGACCTATTCTCATTGACCTCGTAACTTGTCATCTTCGAAGTCATAAGTAACAAAAGACTAGGCTCGAAATCACGACGACACAGGCAGAACTATGATGACGTCACAAAGGTGCTTTTGTGTATCTTACAAGGGGCATTTTTCTCATCATTATTCTGAATTTGGATTTTTTTCAATTTTAATTATACAGTCCGGTCTAGCGGGTCTAGGCAATAAAAAATCGCACTCGTCATTTTAACATATAGGCACTAAATTCATGTACATATCGACGCTTGAAAGGCAAACGTGACTAAGCGACAATGCGTGAACTTTACAGTAGACTAATTTACAGTTGAAATACCTGAAAAAAATCTATTTTAACGAATCTAGCTGTAGGATTGAAATAATTTTAATAGACATAGAAATTTTTTTTTCGCGCATCGAATAAGATTATTGCCTATCATTTATGTACAAAGCAGTTATTGTCGCTTAGTCACGTTTGCCTTTCAAGCATCGATATGTACTTGAAATAGCTGTTTGAAGCCTTTACAGTATAGTCCACATTATCTTTAAGGTTAGGTGAAATAGAGCAGCAAATCGATGCCTCCAGTAGTGTTCATCACAACGCTAACTCCAAATTCGTAGGCTTACAGGAGGAGCGTTTAAACGAAAAAAGTTGATAAAACCTTTATTATTGCAGATATATTTATGATTTTTTCTTGTGTAACTAGCTGATTTACTCTTGCTTCGAACCCCATCAATAATGATTTGTAATACTTGTAAAATAGTGAAGCGATTTGCGTGAAAAAGGAAAATTTCAAAATTTTGAATTAGAGTAGTTAGTGTTCATTGGAGGCATCGAAATGCACTTTGATGTTACTAGATTTAAAGAACAAGAATTGCAGATAGATTACCAAAATTTAAAATATGATTGCTTAAAGGAGTGGACGAACTCACGAGCTTATCGAAACCCATAAACATGTACAGCGTAAATGCTGCTACCCACCTTAAGACATGAGTTCCAAGTCTCATTTCTATAGTACGGGTCTCTTACACTTTAAATCAGAACGCATTACTACTTCGCGGCATGAATATGACTTTGTATGTTACGCTGGTTGTATGTTACGCTGTTAACTGGTGGTAGGACCTCTTGGGAGTGCGCGCGGGTAGGTACCACCACCCTGCCTATTTCCGCCGTGAAGCAGTAATGTATTTCGGTTTGAAGAGTGGGGCAGCCGTTGTAACTATACTTGAGATCTTCGAACTTATATCTCAAGGTAGGTGGTGAATTTACATTGTAGGTGTCTATGGGTTCCAGTAACCACTTAACACCAGGTAGGCTGTGAGCTCGTCCACCCATCTAAGCAATAAATAAAAAAAAGACACGAGCTCCAAGTCTCATTTGTATAGTACGGATCTCTTACACGTTAAATCAGATTACTGCTTTGCGACATGTATGTGAGTTTGCATGTTACGCTTTCATGTCTTAACTAAAGAAAGACGTATCAAAAAACTATTCGGGATAATTTTCTTTCAAGCGAAATCCTTTGTTGAAGACAGTAATAATTCAATTTGAAAAAGTTCATATCACCTATCTGTCTGGGCGTAACTGGAATTGCCCCTCAGGCTACCAGCAAATAGGTATGAAAAAAAATAAACGCCCGTTTAGGCCTTCGTGTTTAACGTGTTAGTTATTTAGCGTATTGGTGGACACTATCCATAGATGGATAGCACAGTGTCCATTTAGGGATAACATAGTGTTTATTAAAATATCTATTGAAGTCGTCGTGGCCTAAAGAATAAGACGTCCGTTGCACACGTATCTAGCGATGCACCGGTGTTCGAATCCCGCAGGCGGGTACCAATTTTTCTAATGAAATACGTACTTGACGAATGCTCACGATTGACTTCCGCGGTGAAGGAATAATATCGTCTAACAAAAATCAAACCCGCAAAAATTATAATTTGCGTAATTGCTGGTGGTATGTCAAGGTGGGTGGCGCATTTACGTTGTAGATGTCTATGGGCTCCACTAACTACTTAACACCAGGAGGACTGTGAGCTCGTCCTCCCATAAAAACAATAAAAAAAAGTCTTGAATTCCGATATGAAAGGTGAGATACTACACTCGCGAGCAAAAGTTTGGAATCACTTATTTGAAATTGGTTCTGCGCGATCTTGTGTACTGAATATTTTTTTGATAATCATAAAAATGAGATAATTTTAAAGGTTCAACTCTTAACTTTAAACTTAAACAAATTCATTAAAATGAAGCCAGTATTTATGAAGCTATCCCGTATTAAGTGAAGGAATAACGAAAAAGAGGTGTTTCAATTGTTTGATACGTCACGAGTTGCGACCTATTGACCCCTATAAAAGCACTTATTATCGGATTTTCTTTATCAATCGACTTTCACACGTCAACCGGTACACATCTCCGCTACTTTTGACCCTTTACTTTGTACGATAATGGAGACAACACCTACAGAAGCAGCACAAATCGTAGCCCTATTGCAAGAAGGGCTCAGCCAGCGAGTTATCGCTCGTCGGCTCCACATAAGCCAATCCTGTGTTTCAAAAGTTTGCAAGCGCTTTTGGAAGACTAGTAGCTTTATCCCGAGACCAAGATCTGGACGGCGCTGGTGCACATCGGAGAGGGATGACCGTTTTATCGTGTTGACCTCTCTCCGAAATCGGCATTTACCTGGTGTTGACGTCAAATAGGAGTTCCGAGATATTCGTGGGGTAGCAGCCAGCGAGTGGACAGTTTGTCGACGACTAAAGCAAGCAAATCTGACTCCAAAAAGGCCTGTCACAGGCCCGAAACTCACGGCAGCTCACCGACAAGCACGCCTTCAATTTGCTCGCACTCATCTTAATTGAGAAGTTGAGCAATGGAGGCAAGTCCTGTTCTCCGACGAGAGCAGGATGTGTTTGCACGGTAGCGACCGAAGAGGTCGGGTCTACAGGCAGCCTGGGGAGCGGTTTGCGCAGTGCTGTTTCACTGAAACAGTGGCTTATGGGGGCGGCTCTTGTATGATGTGGGCCGGCATTTCCTTCGACGGTAAAACCGAGCTTGTTTTCGTGCCTAGCGGAGGACTAGGAGGCGGTCTAACTTCAAACCGATACATTTCCGATATTCTGCTGGAACTTGTCGTTCCCTATGCGGGATATACCGGTGATGACTTCCTCCTTATGGACGATAACGCTCGTTGTTACACTGTCCGTGTAAGAACTAAATACCTCGAAGAAGTCGGTATCGCCACATCGGACTGGCCTGCGCTCAGTCCTGACTTCAACCCTATTGAGCACGTGTGGGATGAACTGAAGAGAAAGGTTCGTTCCAGAACTCTTGCTCCTTCATGTCTAAATGAGCTGAAATCGGCGTTGATTGCGGAGTGGGAAGGTATCCCACAAGAATCAATTCAAAAGCTGACCAGGTCTATGAAGAATCGTCTTTAAGAGGTTATTAGGGCGAGGGGAGGGAACACAAAGTACTGACACTTAATTTTAAGGCTAAATAAAATTTTTATTTATTAATTTTTGTTGTTCTACTCATTCATTATTTTTTCATATTTCCTTGTTTTCCTATCTCCTTCACTTAATCCGAGATAGCTCCTTAACTACTGACTCGATTTGAATGAATTTGGTATCAATTTAAAGTTTACAATTGATCCTTTAACATGATGTCATTTTTATAAAAATTAAAAATTTATTTAGTAAGCAAGATCGCGCGGAACCTATTTCAAGTAAGTGATTCCAAACTTTTGCTCGCGTGTATAGATTTAAAGAACAAGAATTGCAGAGAGATTACCAAATTTAAACGATGATTGCTTAAATGAGTGGACGAGCTCACGAGCTTATCGAACATATATAGAGCGTTAATGCTGCCACCCACCTTGAGACATGAGTTCCAAGTCTCATTCCTATAGTACGGGTCTCTTACACGTTAAATCAGAACGCATTACTGCTTCGCGGCATGAATAAGAGTTTGTATGTTACGCTGGTTGTATGTTACGCTGTTAACTGGTGGGAGGACCTCTTGTGAGTCCGCGCGGGTAGGTACCACCACTCTGCCTATTTCTACTGTGAAGTAGTAATGCGTTTCGGTTTGAAGGGCGGGGCAGCCGTTGTAACTATACTTGAGATCTTAGAACTTATATCTCAAGGTAGATGGTGAATTTACATTGTAGATGTCTATGGGCTCCAGTAACCACTTAACACCAGGCGGGCTGTGAGCTCGTCCATCTAAGCAATAAAAAAAAGCTTTCATGTCTGAACTAAAGAACGGCGTACCAAAAAACTAGCTATTCGGGACAATTTTCTCTCAAGCAAAATCCTTTGTCGAAGACGGTAATGATTCAATTTGAAAGAGTTCATATCACCTATCCGTCCAGGCGTAACTGAAATAGCCCCTTAGGCTACCAGCGAATAGGTAGGGAATAAAAGGAAACGTCCGTTTAGGCCTTCGTGTTTAACTATTAGTTATTTAGCGTATTGGTGTACACTATCCATAGATGGATAGCACAGTGTCCATTTAGGGATAACATAGTGTTTATTAAAATATCTATTGAAGTCGTCGTGGCCTAAAGAATAAGACGTCCGTTGCACACGTATCTAGCGATGCACCGGTGTTCGAATCCCGCAGGCGGGTACCAATTTTTCTAATGAAATACGTACTTGACGAATGTTCACGATTGACTTCCGCGGTGAAGGAATAACATCGTTTAACAAAAATCAAACCCGCAAAAATTATAATTTGCGTAATTGCTGGTGGTATATCAAGGTGGGTGGCGCATTTACGTTGTAGATGTCTATGGACTTCACTAACTACTTAACACCAGGTGGACTGTGAGCTCGTCCTCCCATAAAAACAATAAAAAAAAGTTTTGCATTCCGATTTGAAAGGTGAGATACTATTATAAAATAAGATCCAGACTTCATGTGCATATTGAATTAGTGAAAACCAATCACATTCTGACGTATAAGCCCATGCTTTACTGCCAGGAAGTTCAATGAGATATTTCCGGTACTAAGACCGCTTTAGTCGTTTTCGTGAAGTTGTATTCGAACAAGAAAAAAATCAATTACATGTTCGACATAGACCGGTTCTCTGAAACTCAATTGTACAGCAATTTCTTGAGCCGTTAAAGCACGTACTCGGAGTTGTAGCCGTCGCTTCGTAGTTAGAACTTCATCTAGTACTGACAGAAGTGTACCTTTGATAGCAAAAAAAGTATCATTAAACATGGAGCTGCTCAAAACTGCTGTGAAGTCAACGCTACCCATCTTAAGGCATATAGTTGAAGTCTCGATTCTGTTGTGTTCCGGCCGTTTGACACTTCAAGCCAGAATGCTTGAATGCTTCAGGGCAGAAATACAAAGGACAGTGGTACTTTACTTATTTGGAAACATACAGTATACACTTTTTTCGGGAACCATATGCATGATGCTTCTTCGCTTAGGGGGCGCACGGGGTATGTGAGTCTTGACGGTTCGCAGATGGTGCAAGCGGACTGCGGGCCTGTTTTTGGGACCTTACGCACCAAATGACTCGCCTTACACTCTCTCACCTGACTTTCGATCTCCGCCCGAGGTTAGAGCCCGGGCAGAGTAGTGGGCTCTTGCAAGAAATAACTACAAGACTCGCGACATCACCCCGAGGACGCCCGACCGATTTATCGTCGAGGCAATAGTCGACGACCAACGAGATCGGTGTCCGGAATATGGCGGCAGCGGCACGGCGCCGAGAGGGAAGAGCACCCTCGGAAATCAACAATAATTGTTCTTTTTTACTCTGCGATTGATAATGAAATAAATACATACCAATAGTATAAGAATCAGAAATCCTAGATAAACATGAAACTTCTAATCTGGGAGATAGTGCACCAGCTCTATGCAGTTTTGTTTTCCACATCAAAGATATGCTTCCGTAGTCAGCCCTGGGAATCTGTATCACTTTCTGGTAACATTGGAATAGTAATTTTTGTTCAGCGTCCCATGGAGTCCTAGAAGTTCCAATGAATAACACTCTATCTTCCGGACATATCCCTAAAGAGAAAAATTAACGTTGAAAGAATTAAAAATATTGAATTGAAATTAAAGACATAGACGTGTTAAAGGTCAATTTATTCCAATAAAACTATGTTGACACACTACTTTGATTTTATATTGACCCAAAAAGTTTACATATTAGAATACTCACCCTTTATAATTTTAACCAAATCTTTCTTCAGTCTTTTCGGATCAGTCTTATCAGTTTTCGGTATTTTCTTTACAAACGGCTTCTCAGCTTCGTCCATCCATATAACAGATGGCTGTAACAGTCTAGACACCTTCATAACTAAATGGATCAACATGATCAATCCTGATTTACCAGGATATTTCCCAACTATATTGGCTGGTGTTAGATCAAAAAGTGTTCCTCCAACTTCACTGCAAATTGCTTTGAGTAAAAATTTCTTTCCACTACCTGCTGGTCCTGAAATATTAATGTACTAGTAAGTTTGACTGGTCTCTTAAATAGAAAACTTTATATAGCGTAAAATAAATATGAATGGTGTAAATCACAAAATTAGTTTAGTGAAGACGACTTAAATCTATACTATCTGCATTCGACAGCATATTCGACATAACTTAATTCATAACATTAATATAGTTATTCAATAATAACATATTTATATAATATTATGTACAAGTTATATTTTATATAGATATAAAATAAATAGATTTGTGAATGAACTACAATACAAAATTAATTTTATGTGCCTTACCAGTTAATAGAACAGATCGTACTAACGGGGCCTGACTCCTTACTTGTTCTGAACCCAATGGTAGTATACAATATTCTTTGATCAGCTGTCTTATATCTCCAAGACATGGTGTCGCTTCTTTTCCTTCATTTCTCCATTCGCCCCCAACGTAGCACTTTTCTCCCAAATAATCATCAATTTTAACTATCGGATACGGTTTTATTATACCATTCATGACTAACTCTTCGAAAAGCGATTCAGTCGTTCTATCTGGTGTTAAGTCTTTTTCTTTTTTCTTCTTACTCTTCTTACCTCCGCGCCGTACCTAAAAAGTTATGCTTAATTAGTAATAGCCTCATTATGAAATTTACTTCAAATATCTTAGTTAAAAGGTGCCAGTTAGAAATATGTACTATAATCTTAGATACATTCAATAACCTTTTTCTGTGGTTTCTTAGATTTCTTTCCTTTGTGTGCTCTATCTTTATCAAAAGCTGCCTGTAATAGTTCCAATTCACTTCTCATCATCTCATCTACAACATTTCGTATCTCATGCTCTATTTTCACCATCTTTTCTCTTTCTATCATGTCTTTATAGTATCGCTCGTGAGGATTATCAGCATCATCTTTGAACTTCCAGATATCTTCGAATCTGTGTAACGAAGTTGTATTATTATTAAATTTTATACTTGCCGTATGACTTCACATCCAAACATAATCACTTTAAAATATAATCAACCAATATATCTCTTTCCGCTCCATTAATTAATCGTATTAGGTCATTTGTAGCATTACGGATTATTATAATAGCACAATTTACACCAAATTTTGAAGCAGAAATGTTTTAGGTATATTTTTAAAATTTAGGTCAAGTCATTCAATTATATGTATATGCCATTTGTGTCTACTGATATTTTTCTGAATAAAACGTATAATCAGATTAAGCTCGCCTTTGTATATTTGGATGAACTTAGCTTCTTTTAAATGACAAGTAAAATATTATTATCTAGACTCTAGTTTTTAGATAAATCCTTAATTCAACAATTGAATTTATTCGATAGATACTATCTAATAGTAAAAAGCACCATACTCTTCATTCGCATTTGTTATTTCCTGCAGGAAGGCAGAGCTCCGACACTTGTACATTTGTAAATCATCAACCTCGTCTTTATTCTTGCTCTCTTCTGCTTTGCTGTTCTTCTTGTCTTTGCTTTCTTTGCTTCTCTTCGATTCTTTTGACGAGACAGGAGATGATTTGCTTAAATCACTATCAACACCAGTACCTATAGAATAAATCAATGAATATTGGTGCAACATACCGGGAAGTTTTCTTTCTTAAGAGTTCGATTTTAGTGGTAATAAATCTTGAGACTAGCACAAAAACGCTGCAAAGCATCTCAACATATGAATTCGAAGTCTCTTTATATATTTACCTCTTATTTTATTCCAATTACGATTTCCGTACTCATGCGAGCTTACAATCCGACTTACAAAATCAACTGATATTATGCTCTGAGTTTTTTGGTCTTTGTTTACAATGTTAATACGCATACAGATTAAAATTAAAACAAAAACAATGTTCTCATTTAAGTTTGCTCATGCATACCTTGTCGGCTATACATAGTTCTACTACCACCAGCATCTTCAGAAGGGAATTCCGGGAACCTTGCAGTTCTATCGTAGTATTCCCTAATCCAACGCCTTAGTTCGTCTCCTATTTGTTCATTAATCTTTACACCGTTTTGAATACGGAGTTGCTCTTCAATTTTCTCTAAGGCCTCTTGATACTCTTTCTCCCTTTGAACTTGTAGCTGACGACGGAAGTCTTTAACCTGGAATGTTCAAAAATATCTTAGACACAAATATTTGTGCTCATAATGTACAGCATTTAAATTTAATATAAAAATAGTTAATGAATTTGAAAATCATATTTTAGTGACTTTTCTAGCAATTTTTTTAATGTCCTTACTAATATTTTAATATCCTGTTTGACTTATTTTTTCTATTTTATTACGAGTATAACTTTAATAAACAGACAACGTCAAATAGTTTGCAAGATCTGGAATCAATTTTAAAATCAGCTTATGTGCTACTACTTACTACCTTCTGAATATTTTCAATATGGTTTATCTATATGGCTAAAATTTATCATGTCAAGAGTACCTCTTCAGCTTTTTTGATTTCCATTGACTCCATATATGTGGGAAGGTCCATTCCTATCAGTAGCTGCTCGGCTCTCTTTCTCCTTTTAGTTTCCCGTCTTGCTATAAATCCTCTCCAAACTTTTTGAATAGATGTTGCTGCAGCCGGCGTCATTTCTCCTTTTTGGTCTCGTCCTTTTTCTTTCAGTAGACGGATCTCTTTCATAAATTGTCCTCTAAATGTAAGAAAAGACATAGTAGACGCTTAAACAATAAAATAAAATAAATGGTTTTAAAAATTTATAGGTATGGTCCATATTGTTGGGAACGGAGGAATAGAAAAATAACTCATCTTCCTTATAAACCATACCGCAAACTAAACTATGAAAACTGAAATAAGCACATTTATAAAAATACACATTATAATTCATATTTTAATTGTGATTTTGTTGAGCTTCGATCTCATACAGATTTAATAATTGTATTTTTCTGTTAGAATATTTCCCAATTTAAGAACCTGAGTGTAGCTTAATAAAAGAATCACAAAGCAAATGGCAGAACTAGAAATAACCTTAGCCTTCCCTGTCTGGCTCGTTCATGGCTTTGTATAATTAGCACCGCTTGCTGCTCGGTTAGTACTAAAGGTTTTTGCTTTTCTGGCTCATGTCCAAGCTTTCTTAGCGTTTCTTCTATAAATCCTCTTCTGCTTTTTATTTCTTCTTCTCTTTCTCTTACGAAGTATTGTGGAATACACGGTTCTGCTTCGTATGGCGTCACTTGCAATTTTTTGAGTGCCTTTAATAAACAAATAAAATATATCGCAAACAAAATCGCACGATTGCCACACGGCAGCAGTAGGCAGAGCTTTAGTGACAAAATATGCAGGCTTACAGCGTACCCAAACACCATAAATGCCGGTAAGTAATCTTATTGAAATTGGTGTAGGTTAGGAAAACATTGCTGCATATAAATAAATGCCTTAGTCACTTATACGATACGCATGAAAAGATAATGAGACATGGTACTATTCTTCACCGATACCATAGTGATATCTAGTAATGCTGCATTAAAAATATCTGCCCATTTTAATATATTAATACTTTATCATGAGAAATAAAACAAGAATATTCTGCAGCACTATAGAAAGAAATAAATATTTACCTCGTCGTCATCAAAAGTAAAATCACTGAGATGCAACTCCACAAGATCATGCTTTATTTCTATCAGCCTTCCTAAGCATGACTCCAGTAGCCTGTTCACAATTAGGCGCTTTTGTGGCTGCAGAATCTGGTCGTATACCGCATCCAGCCTTGAAAGCAATATTGTGTATCTAACTCTTAGTTCGAGCAGAAGCGGTTGGAGCGTTGATCTTTCAGCTACACCGGATTCGAAAAGCGCTTCGTCAACTTGAGTGGCCTCACCGATTAGCTCCGATGTTTCGCAGAGAAGGTCGTTGTAGGTTTTGTTGGCCATATTTTATTATATTAATAACCTTGCAATTATTCTGTGAAAATATATGGTGTTTAGAATAAACTATGTCTTAGTATTCATTGCATGCAGTAAATGTTTATAATGCATAATAATTAATTTACTTAAAGCTAACTACACCGTGTCTTAAGTTTCATGAGTCGACATCAAATTGTTCCTCAATTACCTAATAATACTTTTACAATTTAATATCGGGCTTAATATTTTCTTTGTGCTATTTCCGACAGTTCGAATAGTTATGACTAAGTTATTATTTAATGATATTTTCAAAAAAATCTTGACCAAAGTAACGTAAGAGTACTATTACCTATACTACGAATTCCTTCTTCCTAAAATAGGCTGATTTCAAAATTTGATTTGCGCATTTGTTATGTGCCAATAGAATATAATATGTCGGACGTACTGTATGAAATATTTCTGTTTCATTTCTATTTCTGTAACATAGTAGTTTCAGGTTAAACAGTGTTCAATCTACACAATCGGTAAATACAGTATCATTTTGATTGCTGAAAATTTCATTTTCAAATTACATTTCAGTAAAATGTAGTTAATTCGAGTACAGAGTTACTTCCAAAAATATTAGTCATTTTATTCGAAATGTAAGCTTAAACATAGAGTAACAAACACTGTGCTAATAAATTTGGACATCAAAACATCATCATTATCCTGCCCTGCTCCTGGGGTCGGCGTAACATGTTTGCTCCTTCCATACTCTTCTATCATATACCATTTTTTCGCTCACTCCCCTCCTACCCATATCGTCTTTCACACAATCCATCCATTTCTTCTTAGGTCTATTTCTTCCTCTAAATCCTTCCACATTCATAGTTAACACTCTCTTAACAACCTCATTTTCATTTCGTCTCATCACATGTCCATACCATCCCAAACGCGCACTCCTCAGCTTCTCTGTCACAGGTGCCACTTTCAGGACATCAAAACAAAAGAAAAGAAAAAAAAGAAAACAAAAATACCGAACAAGCATTAAATTAACACATTGTATTCTTTCACAATCACTTCCAAAACATTAACTTACCTCAAAAGTCAGTATTTTTTGGCGCACCTTCACATGTTGGTACCGATAAATAATGTTTCTGCTTTTATCGAACAAACTCTCACCGGTTTGGCTGTTGCTATCGACATTGTCATGGTTGGATAAACTTATTTTAAATGCGCACAGAAGCGCACAACTCAAATCCCAATTGTAGTGGTTGAGTTTTTGTTGTTTGTTAACAAATAAAATTTTTTTTGCAGATTTATGTTTATGTTTTTTTTATATTGCTTAGATTTAGAGACGAGCTCACTACCGACCTGGTGGTTAGTGGTTACTGAAGCCGATAGACATCTACAACGTAAATGCGCCATCCACCTTGAGATATGTTCCATGGGGAGTGCTCTGAGGAATTGTTCGAGATGATACCGGCATCTCGTTTTTACCATCGCACCGCCCGCCACCGGCGTAGAGTTCATCCATACTACCTGGAGCCACTGCGGTCATCCACAGTGCGTTTCCAGAGGTCTTTTTTGCCACGTACCATCCGGCTATGGAATGAGCTCCCCTCCACGGTGTTTCCCGAGCGCTATGACATGTCCTTCTTCAAACGAGGCTTGTGGAGAGTATTAAACGGTAGGCAGCGGCTTGGCTCTGCCCCTGGCATTGCTGAAGTCCATGGGCGACGGTAACCACTCACCATCAGGTGGGCCGTATGCTCGTCTGCCTACAAGGGCAATAAAAAAAAAAAAAAAGATATAAGTTCTAAGGTCTCAGTATAGTTACAACGGCAACATACCCTTCGAACCGAAACGCATTACTGCTTCACGGCTGCTGTGGGAAGTTCATATCAGTGTTTTTTTTTTTGCTGGAAGTTGCATGGCCCTACGTTTTAGCACTCTACGGTGTATGTGGAAGAAAGTTGAAACTTCCTACCCTACCTGTTCTTATATGGTTCTATCATGGATTTTAGGGGATGCGTCAATCATTACCCAATACTTTGACCGTTGGTATCGTATTTGTGATATCCATCTTGAAACACGAGGCTAAATGCTTAATTGTAATATTTCTGACCGTCTTTAAACCGGACAACGCGACTAAAAATGGTTGGTGTATTGACGATATGATGGTATTAGCTGATCTAGCACACAATGTTACAACAGGCGTCAGTAAGCACACGAAACTCTGTTCAGTTAATCTGGATGAAATAAATCACTTTACACATCAAAAACACAAAAGAATTATAAGCATAATAATACAGCATGTTCAGTTTTTATTTTATATTTTAAAGGTTCACATAAAAACGTAATTCCAACAATAACACTTTCTCGATATAAACATTGAAGCTTTACATATTCTTACAATTGAGGATGTGAAATCATAAAATCGTTTTTATATAACATTGTAGATGATTGGTCATCGCGGATTGTAAAATGTATAATATCGTGTTGTAAAATATAAATAAAAAGGTATCGAAAATGTTTTGCATGGGTTCCGTTAAGTAGGATATTTTGAAGTTAAACCTAACTATGTTAAAAAAAGCAAACAAAATCCGAGAAATTTGTAATTAGATTTAAAAAAATATGTTTTTAAATTTAAATAGTGATCTTTGATAATCACGATAATCATTTAACACCATGCAGGTGCACTTTAATGGTGGTAGGACCACTTGCGAGTCCGCGCGGATAGGTACCACCGCCCTGCCTATTTCTGCCGTGAAGCAGTAATGCGTTTCGGTTTGAAGGGTGGAGCAGCCGTTGTAACTATACTGAGACTTTAGAACTTGTATCTCAAGGTGGGTGGCGCGTCTAGGTTGTAGATGTCTTTGGGCTCCAGTAACCCAGGTGGGCTGTGAGCTAGTCCACCCATCTAAGCAATAAAAAAAAATGCAACTAGTCAGCCGGACTTATACCAAAATAAAAGAAGATAGCAAGCATTTTAAAATATGTGAAATGATAGAGAGACAGATGGGGCAATTTTAAAGATATAATTAATATACTGTCTCTTTCTTTCTTACACGCATTTTAACAAGAGAAATTTTTAACAAAAAATTAAACCAACGTCTACAAAATAAAATGAGAATATAAATCAATATAGTCGAAGTTAATAAAATATGCGTTATTAAGTTTATCTTAAAAATTGCTGGTCAGTTCTTGACAAAATTGAACCACATGACAAATATAGCTTTCAGATAGAAACTCCTCGAAAACCTTTGATATAGAAAATCTTTTTTTAAATTGTTAAAATGTGTAGACGAGCTCAAGGCCCACTGGGTGTTAAGTGGTCACCGGAGCCCATAGACATCAATCACGTCAATACCATCGCCATCTTGAGACATGTGTCTCATTCTTTTGATGTACGTATAATGGCTCGACAATCTCGTCCTTTTTTGAAAAATTTATATTTTTTATTGATTAAATATTGAAAAATTAAATACCTATCTAAAAACATGATCATGCAATTACCGTTTCCAAATTTTCATCGAAAAGTTTATTTCAAAACTTTCTGTCTCTAAAATATCTTCAAATTGCAACTATCGACCCCTGATTACCCGTGAGGCGTCCGAGAGTCGTGTTTAATATTGACTAAGAACCAGTTTAATAAAGTTATTACGTGAACGAATGTTAACGACTATGTTTACAGGGCGTCTGCGTTCAACATTATTACTAAGCACCCCGGTCGCAGATATCGAAATACTAGATCGTGTCGTCACACCCCTATCATCTATACATATAAATAAAATTGGAGTGTCTGTTTGTAATATTGAAATAACCACTTTTTACTACATGCATATGAATATATATACGGTACATACACCAAAATAACATTTTTTACAATTTTTGCCTGTCTGTCTGTTTGTTCCGGCTAATCTCTGGAACGGCTGGACCGATTTTGACGAGACTTTCACTGATAGGTAGCTGATGATATAAGGAGTAACTAGGCTTTTCTTTAAACTAGCTTTGCTCTGCGGCGTCACCCGCGCTACAACAATAATCGCAGGTAACATCGCGGGACTCAGCTATCAATAATAAAATTTAATGATTCCGAAGCGAAGCGAGGGCGGGTCGCTAGTAATAAAATAAATCTCTCAATTGATGTTCATGAATCTAGCTATAAGAATGATGACGTTCGGCCAAAGAAACATAGTTAATTACTGGTGGTAGGACCTCTTGTGGGTCCGCGCGGGTAGATACCACCGCCCTGCTTATTTGTGTCGGTCGTTTCGGTCTGAAAGATAGGGCAGCCGTTGTAACTGTACTGAGATCTTAGAACTTATATCTCAAGGTGAGTGGCGCATTTACGTTGTAGATGTCTATGGGCTCCAGTAACCACTTAACACCAGGTGGGCTGTCAGCTCGTCCACCCTATTAAGCAATTAAAAAAAAATTTGGAGATTTTTACAGTTCCACAGCATTTAAAATTGAGTCATTTATTTACCTACTAGCGACCCGCCCTCGCTTCGCTTCGGAAACATTAAAACACACATGAAACACCAAAAATAAAATTTTTTTTTTAAAAAAAGTAGCCTATGTTCATCAGGGACAATGTCGGCTTCTAATGGAAAAATCATTTTTCAAATCGGTCCAGTAGTTTCGGAGCCTATTCGAAACAAACAAACAAACAAATCTTTCCTCTTTATAATATTATTAGTATAGATTAGTATAGATACGTAAAAAATGTGATTAGCTGGTGCTGTCTGGTATTTAGATTTGTGTATAATCTATGTCTGGGATCGTATTATGTTTAAATTATTTTTCCACATAATTCAATACTAAAACAATAGTGGAATAACATCAAGCTGGTTTGGTTTTGTAGTCAACAAATAATGAATGAATATATCAGCCAACAATATAAATTCATAAAAAGCAGTCCGCGTAGTCAATCCAGTTCTTTTGTTTCCAAGTTTTTTAAACGTCTATCTAACGGGTGGCGGTGTACGAACCTACATCTTAATGAGCGCAAACTTTTTGCCGAACCCGAGAATGCGTTAACCATGGCCCACTGTTTGCAAAAAGTCACATTATAGCTTTTTGAGGTGGGAGGTAAAGGATTAATGAGTGTCGAACAAAAAATGTTGTTCGGAGAATGTCTGACAAGATTGTTTTGAAAACGATTTCGTATTGGCGTTTCATCAAATACCTGTTAACAGCGTAGTCTTTGCTGTGTTCCCTAAACTTTGTTGACTGTCTGATAAGCGCTTAAATTATTCTTAGCGTAATATGTAAGTAATGTAATACCCTTAATAAGCTCAACATTTAAATCATCCTTTAAAACTGTTTAGGAAAATATCATTGGAACTAATAAAGTAATTGAGCTATATTAATAATTAGAACATAAGTGTAAATGGTTGCTTAAGTTTTCAGATTCCCATCAAACGTAGATTTCAGAGAGTCGTGTAGTCGGTATGATAACAGTTTGAATCCGGAGAAAGCATGTGACGTAAAAGCAGGTCTTTCCGACCATGCGATGTAAAATGTAGGCCACGAGTAACCGTGGACGGATTCCTAAGTAATATTTTTATAAAAAACTCCTCATGTATATCTCTACATACATATGCATACCCCTTCAATAAAAACGTTTCTAACTCAACATATCCGTGACCAGTCGTTTGTTACTATGCAATGATCTGTTGAACCAGACACCATTCATTTGTAACCATCAATCATTCATCGATTCTAGTATCTTTTCTGTTTTTATTTTTGTTTTTATTAACAGAACGCGAGGCTTAATGGACGGTTGAAGTCACATTCAACGCATGCTTTTTTATTAGCACACGTTTTTGAGGTTTTAATATTTATAGTTTAATATAAATGTATGCATGTAATGCGATCCTTGAACCTTGTGTAGTTATCCCGTTTTTATTATGTTGCTTAAGGTGAGCGAGCTCACGGCCCACCTGATGTTAGGTGGTTATCGGAGCCCATACACGTCTACAACCACCGCCACCCACCTAGAGATGTGCATTCTAAGGTCTCAGTATAGTTACACGAATAACGAATGCAATTACGCATCATAATTAAATTATGGTAATTCTAAAATGTAGCAATTATAATGAAAATAGAATTAAACTGTGGCAGTTTAGCTATGCTTTAAATGTACTGACAGATTTTTGGACGGCTAACATCTA